CCCCTCCGAGCCCCATCGCCCTCTCCGGGCCTCCCACAGCGCCCTCCCACACCGCCCCCTGCCCCGCTCCCGCCCCCACCATCACCCACTCGTCGCGCCTCCTCCCCCCAGGCCCTCGCCGACCTGCGCCGCGTCGTCGCGATCGACCCGGAGCACTACCAGGTGTCAGTAATCATTAACAACCGATGATTAAATACTTCATGGTTAATCAGAGCCGGAGCACTGCCAGGCGTGGGCCACGCTCGGAGGCCTCTTTGGGCAGCTCCGGCAGCCGCGCGAGGCGCTCTGCGCCTTCCGCGAGGCGTGCCGCCTCCGCGGCGAGAAGCACGAGCTCTGGAAGAGCTCCGCCGCCCTCGCCGCCGACCTGAGCATGTACTCGGAGGCGATCTTCCGCGGCCGGCGCGCGCTCGAGACGGGCGGCGCGCCCGACCCGGTCCTCGCCGCCGTGCTGGCTGACGCGGTGGTCAAGGACACGCGCGCCGCAGACATGACGGGCGCGCGCCGGCTGCTGCCGCAGCTGCGGACGCTGCTCGGTCTCTACACCGCCGCGCAGCCTGGCGCGGCGCAGCACTGGCAGACGGCGCTCTACGTCGAGCGAAAGTGCGGCGGGCCGGCGGAGGCGGCGCCGCTCCTCCTCGGCCACCTCGCCGCATTGCGCGCCTCGACGCCGCGGGCTCGCTCCGGCCTTGGCAGTCCCCCGCGTGAGCCTTCTCGGAGCCTTCCCGCAGGCGCGCCTCGACCGAGTGGACCAAGGACGCGGCCGCGCTCGACGCGGTCTCCGAGGCGGCGGCGCAGCTGGTGGAGGCGCGGCTCGACTCCGGGTGCGAGCCCGGCGAGCTCAAGAGGCTCGGGGCGACGGTCGACGAGCTGGTGCACGCCGCCGCGGAGCGGCTCGCCGCGACGGCCGGCTCCGAGGGGTTGCGGATGGTGCAGGCGCGCCTGCGCCGCCACCTCGAGGACCTCGACTGACCTGCTCGCACGGTGTAAGCGCGACTGTGCGACAGGAGCGCAGACCCCTCGCGACGTCGAGAGTGGTGTGAGTGAGAGTGCGCTGCGGCGCAGCTGCCCAGCTCGCGTATCTCGCCGCGCGGGCCAAGCAGCGCATGTACGTGCTTAAGACGTCGCAGACCTCGTCCAGACTCGCCCTCTCGAATTTACCCGCCCAGAAAATGGTAAATGCGTGCCACGGTGCTACTACCCACGACACATCGAGCGACACACGACTTCACACCGCGCGCGACACCACGCAGACCAGCTCCCCCGGCCAGCTCGCTCGCGGCGAAGCGCCAGCGTATTGCCCCATTGCTACTACGGAAGCCGCCCCGGAGAGCATGGCTAAGCGAACCCTCGCGCGCGCCAGTCGAGGGAGCTCAGCCCGCCGTCGTCCTCGTCGTCGTCGTCCTCCTCCTCCTCCTCCTCGCGCGCGGCTGACGGCGCCGCACCCGGATCGCCGTCGTCGGCGGCTGCGGCCGCGCGCTCCGCCTTGGTGGCGGCCACCTCCTGCGCCACGCGCGCGGCGACGACGAGCGCCTTTTGGCGCATGTCGTGCAGCCCGTCCACCCGCTTGCTCAGCTGCACCTGCTCCTGCAGCGCCTGCAGCTGGCTCAGGTCTGCCTCCTCCTCGATCTCCTCGGCGTCGTTGGCCTTCGCCGTCTCGATGTCGGCGCGCACCAGCTTGTTGAACTCGTCCATCTCCTCGCGCAGCTGCTGCTCCTTGTTCGTCGCCGCCACCTCTCTCCCGCGGTTGGACGGGTCCTCCTGCGGATTGTCAAAGAAGCCGCCCGGCAGTGAGGGCGCCGCGCCGCCCGCGCCCGCGCCCGCGTCGTCCGCCTCGGCGGTTGCCGCCACCGCCCCGGCGGACGCTCGGCCGCCCGCGGACGAGCCGCCCGCCGCGCCCTCTGCGTCCTCGAGGTAATAGCCCACGCCCGCCGGACCCGCCTTGAAGGTGTAGCCGGGCCGCGCGCCCGCAAAGGAGGCGCACGCGAGGAAGCCGGCGGGCGCGTCGGCCGGCGCGGCAACCGCTCGCGCCCCAGGCGGCGCGGCAGAAGCTATGGCGCGGCGCTTGGCTGGCGGCTCCTCGGCGGCGGCGGCGGCGGCGGCGGCGGCGGCGGCGCGCTCGCGCTGCTTGAGCTCGTCCACCTTCCGGCGCTGGTCTTTGAGACTCTGCAGGTTGACAAGCGGGTTACTGCCTCCCTTCGCGAGGAGGTCCTTGAAGGAGGTCTTCCCCATCCCCGCACCACAGTCGTATGAGCGCGCAAAGGCTGAAGAGACAGTTGCTCGAAAGAAGAATTGCTGCGCCCCCGGAGCGATCGCGACCGCGAGGTGGTGCGAGAGGCGGCGCGGGAGCGGATCCGCCCGGTGGAGGAGGCGGGGAAGATGCTGGAATGGGACTGGGGGAGTGAGCGGCTCGCGGTTGCCGAGTCGTGCCTGCCATCCCGTGTCGCGGAAGCGAGCCGGCTCGGGCTCGGCCTCGGGTTCTGAGGCTGTCCATGCTCGGTGGAGTCCTCTCCCCGGACGTGACATCTGACACGACAGAGTGTCCCTTGTAATGCGAGAGAGTGCGTTGTTTTCTTGTGTGCATTGCGCCGCCCACCAAGCAGTTCCTCCCTGAGGGAGGGTGTAGAGGATGTAGAGTGTAGAGCGCTGTAGAGCTGTAGAGATGTAGAGCGCTCTGGAGCGCTGTAGAGCTGTAGAGCTCTACATCCGCCGCGTGACGAGGCGCCTGCGTTGTAGAGCGATGTAGAGCGCGATTTTGTTGTAGAGTTTGTTGTAGAGGCTCTACAGCCAAACCGCCGGGAAGGCAGTGACTCAAAGAGGTCGAGCCGCGCTAATGGGGTTTTACCGAGCTTAGTGAAGCTCTGATGGACAGCCCTGACTATCCCTGACACACAGAGAGTCCCTCTGACGGCACACAACACCCTATAACTGCGTCATGACCAGCCTGCCATGTGTCGCCGGTGCCGCATTCGTCGCTGTGCTTCTTTAGCAGGCGGTGGACTGTCGGCTGCGAGGACGGTCGCATTTGCGCGAGGCGAGGCGAGCATTCAGACGCCTTATCTGCGCCATGACTCGCGCCAGCGCGTGCGGGAGCTCCTGGCTGAGCGTTGAGTCCAGGCGAGTTGCGCTGGCCACGATCGCTACGCCGAGCCGAGCTGACGCGCCGAGGCGCCGGCCAGTCGCAGCCGTGAGGCATGCCACAGCAGCAGAGGCATCTGCCACCCATTGGGCGGGCAGACAGAAGGCCAGGGCAGCACTGGCAAGTGCAACGCGCCTCATGTCGGAGAGCGACCGTGCCTCGTTCGCCGCTTATGATGTAGAGTTTGTTGTAGAGATTTCACGTTGTAGAGCGCCTCTACATCGCTCTACAACGCAGGCGCCTCGTCACGCGGCGGATGTAGAGCTCTACAGCTCTACAGCGCTCTACATCTCTACAGCTCTACAGTGCTCTACACTCTACATCCTCTACACCCTCCCTCAGGTTCCTCCACGTGTTCGCCAAGGAAGCGGTGGGCACCAACACGGGGCTCCAGGCCCCAAATTACGTGTGAGTGTTAGAGTTGTTTGGTATTGCTAAAAATCTCATATCCAACACGGACCGGACGGTGTATGGGGCGGCGTCGGCGAGCGCCTCCTCCTTTGTCGTCCATCCACCACGCACGCAGCAGATCTCCATGGCGGCGGTGGCGGGCGACGCCGAAAACATCAACAAGCAGGCGCGCACTGACTGACTGTGTGCACCAACTGGATCAAGAACAAGCAAGCGGCAAACGGCCTCTTGTTCTCGGCCCCAGTGGGGGGTGGCTGTGCCGCCTAGCTCTGCGGACGACGGGCCTCTCCACCCTTCACGTACGTACGGATCATGTAGTCCCCACACTCGCTGTCGTGGGATCGCTTGTCGTGTGAGAGAGTTTTCAGGCCCGCGATTTGTCTTTTTCTCTATTTTTGCAGCACACCTGGCCGCCACGCGCACAAAGGGCTCTCTGCGACCACAGCTCGACCGCGACTCGGACCGCGGATGAGGATAGGCAAGAAGTCGCGCGCGCGCCGCACGCTTGGCTTCTACCGGTCCGCCTTTGGCATCAAACAGCCGTACCGCGTGCTGGTCGACGGCACGGCGCTGCAGGCGCATCTCCTCTCCTTTGCCGCCCTCTCGCCGCCGCCCACATGCACAACGCCCGCCGCCCTTGCATCCGCAGGCCGCCGCCAATCTCGGGCTCGACCTGCGGGTGGAGCTCCCAAAGGTGCTGGGAGGCCGCGCCGAGGTGGTCGTGACGCGGGCGGTGGTCGCCGAGCTCCGCTCGCTCGGCAAGGAGTTCAAGAGCGCGACCGCGACGGCCAAGCGGCTGCCCAAGCTCGACTCGACCGGGAGCGGTCAGGCAGGGGCCGCGAGCGCGTCGGTGCGCCACCACCGCGCCGCCGCCCGCCTCCGACCGCCACTGCTTGCGGCGCACCGAGCCACTGCTTGACCCGCCGCCCTCTGAGCGCGGCCGCTCGCGCCAGGTGCTCTCCGCGGTGGAGAATGGGAACGCGCGCCGGCTGTGCGTGCTCACCGAGGACGCGGCGCTGCAGCAGAGGCTGGCGGCGCTCTCCGGCGTGCCGCTCCTCCGCTTCGCGCGCCAGGTGATCGTGCTCGAGCCGCCGCAGCGCGACGAGAGGGCCGCCGCCGAAGGCGCCGCCGAGGAGCTGGCGAGGGCGAACGACCGCCGCGCCGCGCTTGCGCCGGACGCGCCGGACGCCGCTCCGAAGAAGAGGAAGCGGCTCAGAGAGCCCAACCCGCTCTCGTGCAAGAAGAAGAAGCCGGCGCCTGCGCCGACCTCCTCCGGCGCGAGCGGCGAAGCCGGCGTCAAGAAGCGGCGCCGCGGCCGCCGGCGGGCGGCAGCCCCAGCGGCGGCAAGCGAGGGCGAGGCGGGGCGGGAACCGAACCCGCAGTGTGCGCAGTGAGAGTTAATGGTTTTGACTGCCGCTGGGGTGGCGATGTGGACGGGTCCCCGCACCCCGGGTGACCGGGTCGACGTCCCACACCCACACAAGAACGCGCACACGGGCGCACGCCCCTGAGAATTTCCTTCGGGATTTTGGCGCGGCGAGGTTGCGGTGCTGCTTCGCCGTTCGCGAGCAGCTGCAGCTCCGTGCGGCGGGCTTCACCTTCAGAGAGGCAACGCGCGCCCCCCAGCAATCGAGCCCGCATCGCCCGCATGTCGCTTGTCGGCCGGCGGGCTTTCTCAAGAGAGATTTAGATAAAGAAGAAAAATCGCGAGAACACGTAATGCATACATGTATCCAGGGCGGGGACCTGTTCCTTTTTACCCATCTCACAGTAGAGGTGACACTGACAGGTGTCCGTTTCATTTATTTATTTTTGGAATTTGGCATTTGTCCCATCGCTTTGTTTATTGATATTGTAATCGGCTTTCTCGTCATCTGTGTCCCTGCTCTGCTGTGCTTCTCGCGTCCTTGGGAAGTTGTGCTGACCTCCTTTCTCCTCCTGCTCTCCTATGCCACGTGGCTGAGAGAGAGATTTTTAGCAATACCAAACAACTCTAACACTCACACGTCATTTGGGGCCTGGAGCCCTGTTCACGCGCGCGCGAGACGTGCAGACAGGGTTGCCAGGTGAGAGCGAATGGCGCGGTTCACGCCTCGCACAACAGAGAGAGAGATGCGCTCTGCGTGGTGGGACATAAAAGAGAGCGAGTACTTGGGCGAGTAGGCCGTGCGGTCGACGCTGCCGCGCGCGACTTTGCGCGAGGCGGCGCAGCTTGAGAACGGCGGTGGGCGAGAAGCCGCCGCCGAACGTCTCGTGGAGCAGCAGGTTGAAGTTGTTGCGCTTGACAAAGATCGCGTCGTGGTAGAAACCGCGATGCGCCTTGACGTAGCCGTGGCCGGTCTTGTGGTCGAAGGGCTGCCCGCGCGCCTTGCAGCCCATGTTTAGGCGGCGGGCCTTCTCTTCGGTGTTTGTTCCCGGGCAT